CTGCACCAATCAGGAGCCAGATGCTTCCTCTGGGTTTCTCATGTGGGTACAGAGGCCCAAGGACGTGGGCCATAGCAGAGAGCTGGTTCAGAAGTGGAACAACTGGGACTCAAACTAGCGCCCATGTGGGATGTTGGCACCGCAGGCAGCAGCTTTACCCACTACACCACAGCAGTAGCCCCAAGAACTCTCCTTTACAAATACCAAGCTGAAATGATTTGGCCTGGCTTCTAGAGTCTCACCTTTCTTGCTGGTGGAGAGGGAGGATAGAGAACTGACCACTTGGTACAGTGAAGATTGGAGAAGAACTAAGGAAGGGCATTAAATTTCTTGTGTCCATTCTTAATGGTCTTTTGAACTTGTTGAATTGAGACTGATGGCTCATGAAAGCTACTAACTCTTGGAAGGCCATAAGGGAATTACATTGCAGACGTACACATGTGTATCTGAAAAGAAACATACAGACGCTGAGAACTCAGAAACAAGCCCAAGTCTGGGTATTACTGAATGAAAATGAGAATGGCGAGGGAGAGGTATCTGAAGCTGGACCAGTCAGTAGTGTTAAACACAGATGTGGGAAACACTATCACTAGACAGGAACACAGAGCTGGGTACAGGCTAGGGAAGATGGTAAATGTCTCAGTGAGGAAATTACTTCTTCCTAAGAGAAAGATATAGCTGAGTGATGTGATAGTCCCAACTGTTATTGATAAGAGTACCTACTTTTAAATAATTTTTATTTGAAAGGCAATGAGAGTAGAAGAGCAAGAGATGACTTCCACCTGCTGGTTCAATTCTCCAAATGCATGCAATGGCCAGGGCTGGGCCAGGCTGCAACCAGGAACAAGGAACTCAGTCTGGTTCTCCTACATGGGTGGCAGGGATCCAAGTACTTGGATCCAGCCATTGTCACTCCCCCTCTTCGTGGAGGAACGACACAGGACCCTGCGTTGTTCTTTCGTCTGCTTGACACTCCCCGGGTTTGCTGCTGGTTCTTCCCAGGTTGGCTACCGTCCCTTCCACCTCCGTGGAAGGGCAGTTCCCCCTGCCACTTTCCCCACTTCCGCGGGGGAGCGGCACACCGCCGGCTGGCTCTCTCGGGGGCTGTACAGGTGTTCCTTCAGATAGATGTTCCTGGTGCATGGTGTCTCTCTCCTCCTTTATAGTCCTCTTCCACCAATCCCAACTCTGCTACCCACACGCCGAGTACGCCGCTCTCCTCCAATCAGGAGCAGGTCCTGCTGTTTATTGGTTGAACTGGAGGCAGCTGTGTAGAAGCTGTTTCCTCCTCTCCCAGCGCCATATTGTGGGAGAGCAGATGCATAGAATAAGTCTTAATTCCAGTAACAGTCTAGTCCGAGTTGCTCCCCACAAGCCATCACCTGCTGCTTTCCAGGTTGCACATTAGCAAGAAGCTGAAATCAGGAGCTGAACCTGGACTTGAACCTAAGCACCCTGATATAGGATAAAGGCATCCCAAGTGGTGTCTATACTGCTTCATCAAAATCTGCCAATGTTTATTTATTTGAAAGAGACAGAGGGAGCTCTCACCAGACGATTTACTCCCCAGATGCCTGCAACAGCCAAGGCTAGGCCTGGCTGAAGTTGGGAGTTCAGAACTCAATCAAGGTCTCACATGTACATGGCAAGGATCCAACTACTTGAGCTACTATTGCTGCCTTCTAGGGTCTGAATCAACATGAAGCTTGAGCCATAACCAGAGTTAGGAATTGAATCCTAGAACCCCAAAGTGGGACAAAGGAATTTTAACTGTTGGGCTAAAGGCCCACTCCTCTGTGTCCAACTGACTCGGATCATTTATATTTTTTATGGTTCTCAGTAACAGAAATTTAAAAAATATCAAAATATGGCTATGAAAGCTGTAGTATATTTTAAATATTTGTTAAGTAAAAACTTAATGAATTTGATACAACATATTACATAGCGATGCTATTTATAAGATAATTCAGGAATTTTAAAAGATGTGAATTAATAGCATATAATGGTATAACCTAGTAATAGGACACAAGGCTGTTGTCAGTTGAACATTTACTTTTTCTATTTGAAAGGCAGAGTGACAGAGTTGGTGTGCACAGGGGTTAGGGGTTGGGAGCAGGGCTGGACCAGGCCAAAGCCAGGAGCCTAGAATTTCATTCTGGTCTTCTACTTGGATGGCAAGGGTCAGGATGCTTGGGCCATTTTGCAGTGCCTTCCCAGTTACATTAGCCAGGAGCTGAGTCAGAAGTGGAGCTGCAAGAACTTGAGTCAGTCTGATATGGTATGCTGGCATCACAGGAGGCGCTTAACCTGCTGCACCAAGATGCCACCCTGGACATTTCCTTCTTTCAGTCCTATCAGTATGTCTGTCTGCAGGAGAAGTATTTTAGAGACTTAAGATCATCTATCTAAGTATGAAGCATGTATGAATACGAGACCCAGGCCCACCTAATGGCTGCCCCACTGTCACCACTCCATAGGCCCTAAGTAGGGTCTGTTTCCAGGACTAAGTGCTTTCTGTGCCTCTCCTCTCGTTACATGCACTGGTCTACATACCAAGTATTCCAGAAATACAGCAGCTACTGTCTTAGTTCACGAGTTTCAGAATTCCCTTTGGCTATTTCTGCTACATCTCCATCTCCAGCTTCTCCCTCCAATTCATCCTCTGTATTGCTGACAAAGATCTCTCTTAAATACAGCCTGAACAAGTCATGGCCTTGACTCTAAATCATGGCCAGGTTCCCTTTTCCCATAGGTTAACATTCAAATTTCCTGGCTTGATATTTAATATCTCATTCAAGGGTTCCCAACCCACCTTCCCAATCTCATTTCCCATTATTTTTCCAATACTCTATACCCTCTGCTTTTCCAGGTTTCATGTTTTTATCTGTTTCTGTCTGTTCTTATCTCTTCCTGAAAAACCCTCATATTTTCTTGCTAATTTGTATCCCTCTCTTCTGTGAAAAGTTCTTCACTGCTCCCAATGAGAGTGACTCTCTGATCCCCTAATCTATTAAAATGTTGCAGTATAGTGAGTGTTTACTGAAGAGAGACTGTGGTTTGTTTATCTTTGTATATCCTATCCCTGGTACCATGCACAGTAAGGGCTCAACAAATACTGATGGGATGATTGAATTAGTTGTCAATAATACTCCATGCTTTCAGAGCCAAATGCAAGTTCAGTCACAAACTGCCTCTTGCAAACAATTTACTCTATAGGATTTGACAGTGATTTCCCAGTGTTTATGATGGCTCTTATAAGTAGCTCTGATGATTGAAAAAATGATTCTCAGTTCCCAGGCCTCCATATTAATATGCTTCTTCCAAAGCAAGCCCTTTAACTTTCTCTGTTGATCCTGACTTGGAAAGCCTATTGAGGAAATCCTACAAGACTTCATTTGTTTGACTCGGTCTACATTTTCAGCCCAGACACAGAATCACCATCATTTACTGCTGAGATTGCCTCATGCTGCTTATCTGCGTGTGGTCATTCTTCAGGCAAGAAAAAAATGCGTTATAACACAGCTTTGGTATCAGAACCAACTTTGGCAGATAGGGCAACATTAGGAGATAATTGGAAGGACAGCTGATTTGTTAGCAAAATGTTGCTTTTCAGCTAATGAATCATTCCGATTTTTGCAGTGACAATTCAGTAACAAGCTTGAAGACTACTTCGCTTCAGACCATTAAACTTTGACAAACTAGTTATTAACTACAGCTAGAGCCAACAGTCTGTGGGGATTATTGCAATTATGAGCCATCTATGTAATTTTTTTTAAATCATTAGGCGAGACAAGGTGAGTCTGATGATGGAGGGGCTGATGACTGGCGGGCTTTTGCTTTGCAGTACACAAGGCAATAAACAGCTGCAAGGAGGACCAATCAGTCAGCAAAAGCTCTTTGCTGGGAAAATGTAAGAGCAAAAAAGGTTATTTCTCTCAACCAACTACATCTGTTCGTGGAAGAAAGGACAAAATTGTCCTTTAACTTCATGTGGCGTGGACATGTTTGCGAAGGAGAATTAGATGGGTATAGAGGAAGTACATTAGATGGAAGAAAAAGCAGGACAGGACATACATGGCTTGGGTTGTATTCTAATACTTTATTGGATTGTTGTTGCATTCAGGACACTCATTGAAAAGTTGCCTTCTCTTTCTCCTTTATTTATGAGGATCTCAAACTGAGATGGATAATATAAATTAGGGCATCAGGATGTGGTAAATATGATGGCAAACCTACATGTCAAATAAAAACACATCTGGTGTACCATATTATAGCACCTGATCTACACACAAGAGTCCAGGGTCCTCAGATTGGATTATGAGATCCTCCGAATAGGACAAAAATATACATCTCTCCAGCCTTACTGAATGTTTGTGCCCCAGTCTATCAGGAATGCTCTCCACGTGTGCCCCACACTTTCCAATCTTGGTTCCTTTGTTTCCCCAGGAATGGCCTCTACCTTGAACCCTTGAAATTTTTATATTCAAATTATATTAACCTTCTGGGTCTCTTTTCTGTCAAGTTGGGAGGAAGGGGTGGGTGAATTGATTCTAAGATCCTTTCCTTGAGGCCAGTGCTGTGATGTAGCAGGTTAAGCCACTGCCTGCAACTCAGGCATCCCATAAGGGCACTGGATTGATCCCTGGCTGCTCCACTTCTGATCCAGCTCCCTTCTAATGTGCCTGGGAAGGCAGCAGAGAATGGCGAAAGTGCTTGAGCCCCTATATCCATGTGGGAAGCCCAGATGAAGCTTCTGGCTCCTGGCTTTGTTCTGGCCCAGCCCTAGCTATTGTGGCCATTTGGGGAGTAAGCCAGTGGATGGAAGATTCTCTGTGTCTGTTACTCTGCCTTTCAAACAAGATAAATAAGTCTTTTTTAAAATAATCCTTTCTCTTCTGAAGTTTTGTGAATCTGGCTTTTTCACTACATTTGATTAGCATACATATGAGCCTAGTTGCATTCTTGAGTATTAACTCAGTGTAATATTGTGCAACTCCTAGGTGGGCACATTGCTGGAAGTCTTGCCATCATCACAGATGCTGCCCATCTCTTAATTGACCTAACCAGTTTCCTGCTCAGTCTCTTCTCCTTGTGGTTGTCAACAAAGCCCCCCTCCAAGCGGCTGACATTTGGATGGCATCGAGCAGGTACGGTTCACTGATGGAGACAGAAGTAATGCCACAGAATCATATAGGAAAATGGAGAGTGCAAACCAAGCTTTGCCTAAATCCCCCTTAGAGGCACATTTCCAATGTGCAGGATAAAATAAATGTATATGTGGGAATGTGTGTTCAATATTATTTCAGCATACAACCAGGTTAATGTTGCTCCCTCATCTCCAGTGGGACAGTAGGAATGTGTGTATCACTCTAGCAGCTGCACAGTCCCAGTGTGTGCCAGAGCCATGGCATTATTTATTAAATCACTCTGTATGCTTTGAAGAGAAGATGGGGTAAAGCTTTTGCCGTATTGCAACATAAGACACAGAGGGCTAAGACAGTTGCAGAAATGAAGAACTTCTCAGGGGTGTCAGGAGTAGAGTCTGGGCGTTCCTGTTCACAAGCAGCATTTAGCCATTCACGGAATGGCTCAGTTTAATAGCCTGCTCAGTCAGCAACAATAAAACATGGAGGATGAGGAAGAGCAGAGAGGGAGGAGAGAAAGAAATTTTGCTTTTTCTCTTTTCTTGGAGCCGATTTTTTCACTGAGTAATTGCTTGCCCTTGTCTGGGAAGTCACTTAAGTTAGAGTAAGTATTTAGTCCCTGGGAAATCCTAACTTTGGCTCATTTAAAAAATTTGTTTCCAATTCATCCTATCTCTATGTTCTGTAGCTTCATTTCTTCTGCACTTCCATTTTTTCTATCAGCTCTTGTCTCACCATACCTCTCTAACCACAGCTGTACAGTTAGACCTGCTCTACTTGTATACCGATTTGGAGTCTCATAGGTAGGAAGCCCTCCTACCTGTCTCTGGATAACCAGAAGTATTTGGGGCATTCAGGACCTCACTCTTGAACTGTTGCAAAGGGAAGTTTGAAGTCATCTGACTAATTAAATGAAACCTTTCCTGTGGGATCATGTGAATATTCCATGTTTTCCCACTGGCTGAGAAAGTCAATGTACAGGAGATCTGAGGGCAGGACGAATGTAGCCCACGTGGCCAGCCTTCACTGGAAGAGTTTCTAGTCATGACCACAGCTCATAGACTGACACCCATGGACTGTGGGCTCTCAAGTTCAGAATGATAGGATGCTCTAATTTCACACTGGCCAACTTACCACAAGTGTTTTGAATTGCCTTTCCTTTACTATTCAGAGGTGAGGCAATATACAGCAATAAAGAACTTGTGACAACGTGATCCGAGAATGCTTTTACAAGTTCCTGAATAGAGTTATGCTTGCAAAACAGGTTCCTTTGGCTGACCACACATCATTTATCTGTATAACATTACCTTTTCTGATGCCAGTGGTCAAGGCTGTTTAGTAAGTGCAGGGTGGATTGAAAATTTAGACATGGCTCGTCCTTTGTCATTTCGGCAATGGAAGTACCTGAGCACGGATATTCCAGAAGACCAGGTCTGTGTAACAGAACTCTGTGCCACAGGGGAAATGTTCTATAATGTGGCCATGGAGCACTCTGAATGTGGCTATTGCTACTGAAGAACCAGATTTTTAATTTCATTTAAATAGGTTGCTACCATATTAAACAGCACCTCTAGACAGAAAATAACCCAGTGCATCACAGATTTGTCCAGCCAACCTGATGGCCTTGATAGCCTCAGTATTTTCCCAGAAATCATGGCAGCACTTTTCAGTGGTTCCTCATGTTTCTTTTGCTAACTAAAATACTTTTGGATTCCTGATTCTGTGTTATTCTAGATTTAGATCTTACTCTTGGTGTCTGAGCTTTATACTCGTCATTCTGGTCTCATCTCACCATATCTCTAACCACAGGTTTAAGTGTTGAATATACTCATATATCCTGATTTGGAGTCTTGTAGGTAGGATGCCCACTACTTGCCACCTGTAAGTCCAATCTCTGTTTCTGGCTAACTAGAAATTCTTGGGCTGACCCCCTTAAATTCTTGTGAGAGGGATGTTTTAAATAGTCTAATAACAAATTTATTGAGTATTTTCTTTTTGTTGTATTAGTTTCCTAGACCTGCCTCAGCAAAGTACTTCAACCTGGGAGGCTGAAACAGCAGAAGTATATTATCTCACCGTTCTGGAAAATAGGAGTGATCAAAGTAGCAGCAAGGTCACTTCCTTCTGAGGTCCGAGAGTGGAAAATCTGTTTGCTGCCTTCCTCCTCACTTCTGATTGTTTGCCAGAAACCTTTGTTTGCCATTGGCTTACAGATCTGCTTTAATCTCTACATGGCATGCCCCTTGTGAGCATGCCTATTCTCTAGATTGCCCTTTAAATAAATATACCAGCCGTATTATATTATGGATTGTCCTACTCCAGTGTCTCACCTTAATTACAGCTATAATGACCTATTCCAAATAAAATCACAATCTGAGGCACTGATACTTAGTACTTGAGCATGAATTTGGGGGAGACACAATTTAATCCATAACACATGCCAATGTCCTAATACATTTCAATCATTTTAGACCTATTTAAATATGTCCTTGTTATAGCTACTGTATAGGTAAGGAAACCTAGGCTCCAATAGATTGTTACTTGTCTCAAGACATCTCACTGGTCACGGCAGATCTTTCATGCTCCGTCACACTTGAACTCATGTCCCAAACATTTGCAGCAGCATTTGGCATGGTGTGAGAAATGTTCCACAGATGGTTACTCAGATGATGTTAAGAGGCACATAGACAATAATTATACACACGCATAAGTATTAGAAAATATATACAGATTTAATATGTAATCTCATGGATAATTTGTTTAGCTAGAAGCTTAAGTGTAAGACACAAATTTATTTGAAGGAAACACTAAGTGGTCAATGAAAAAAAAGTTGGGAGGAAGTTATAACAGACATCAGGAATGTATATGCAAATAACCAAACATTGGGAAATAGTAGTTACCACAGTAGTTAGCAATACATTTCTCTGCTTTAAAAGGAATTGATATCTGAGATGTTTAAAGCAGGGGAGGACAAAAATTACAGGCTGTGCCTGACAGCTTACTCACTGCATGCTTCTAGACTCTGGTGGGTCCATAGAACCTACTTGCAAGGTTGCATGAAAGATTAGGATGGGTGCTAAAGAACTTCCAAGTGAGCAAGCTGTACTTGCCATAGTGGGCACATTAATATTTAAAGATAAGATAGTGCTTAATGTAAATGTCTCCACTCTTCCTTACTCTTGCGCTTACAATGCAGCATTGATAAGCTTCTGAGGTCATGACCATGTTTATAATATGCTGGGCTGGCAAATGAAAATCATTTTCATCAAGTGCCCTCTGAAGCCTGCCCTTTCCACTGTTTCATTCCAAAGGTGCTGGTACTGGCAAGTCATGAACAGTTTATGGCAAAATGAAGAGTTTCTGAGCACGTTTTCCTTGTTGCATCTCATTATTTCATTTCCTAATAAGTTTCAATCATTTTAGCACCTATTTAAATTAAAATCCCCACAGAAAACAGTGAGGGCAGGCAGCAATTAATATTTCTGAAAATTTGCTGGAATTACTTAATATGGATCATAATGAGTGCAGATGCTGGCATTTTATGAATGCAGCATTAAAGTATCTCAGTTTTTATATCCAGCCACACCTTTGCTTCATGATTCACTGAGTGAACTTGCTTGAAGTCTTTTCTTTTAGGGGAGTAAGGCACAGATCTTATGACTCTTGTGGGAGGAGTAGGCAACCTGTCAGTTACTGTGTGCTGTGTGTCTTTGTTTGAATCCCTAGAGATCCTTGGTGCCCTGCTGTCCATCCTGTGCATCTGGCTGGTGACTGGCGTGCTGGTGTACCTGGCGTGTGAACGCCTGCTGCACCCCGATTACCAGATCCAGGGGACTGTGATGATCATCGTTTCTGGCTGTGCAGTGGTGGCCAATATTATGTAAGTCGCCCCCACACAGTGTCCGTGAGGCTTATCCTTAACCCTGTCTGGATGAAGACACCTTTCTTTACATGGTAGAGATTTGATAATGTATAAATGTCTCTGCAACTTAAAATAAAAGCTGATCACTCTGGTTTAAGTTAAAGGGTGTTTTAATATTAGATTCTAGGGGCTGGCCCTGTGACTCATCAGGTTAATGTCCTGGCCTGAAGTGCTACCATCCCATATGGGCTCCAGTTTGAGACCTGGCTGCTCCACTTCTGATCCAGCTCTCTGCTCTGACCTGGGGAAAGCAGTGGAGGATGGCCCAAGACCTTGGGCCCCTGCACCCACGTGGGAGACCCAGAGGAAGCTCCTGGCTTTGGATCGGCGCAGCTCTGGCCATTGCAGCCAATTGAGAGTGAATCATCAGATGGAAGACCTCTCTCTGTCTCCCTCTCTCTGCCTCTCCTGTGTAACTCTGACTTTCAAATTAATAGAATCTATTTTTTTAAAAGATTTTATTAGATACCATTTTTGAAAGATTCCAAGTATACTAGAAACTGGACTAGAATCTTTTGCTATACAAGATCCAATTTAATGCTTGCAATGCCCCTAATTTACAGACAAGAGAACTGAAGCTTCCAAAGGTTAAATACTTGGTCAATCAGGTAGTGTAGAATCAGAATTTGAATCCAGGTCCGCAGAAACAGAATTGAACTCCTAGCCATTCTGCTTTCTTCTGCAAGTTGAGTTGTGACTTATACCTGCTCAGTTTCTGTTGGGTGGGCAGATTATGATAAGCTCCTGGAGAGCTGATTTAGAAAGAATCTTAAAGTTCACTTCAGTCTGCCTTCTAATTCAGGGTTATTTTTTGCAGCATTCCCATAAAGTGGTCAATTTGATATTTTATTCATATTTGAATAACACATAGTATTTGTATATTTGAGATTCAGTGTGATGTTTTGATTCATGTAAACATTGGGTAATGACCGTATCAGGAAAATTAGTATATCCATTGACTTAAATTTTTATGTTTTCTCTAACCTTTGTATATTTTAGCAGAACTAGTAGTAGGGAATTTCCTTAAAGGGTCTATTTTCTGTTTGAATAATTGTGATTGCATGAATATTCTCCCTTAAGCTATGTTAGCTGAATTCCCCTTCAGTTGCCACCTGATGGTCCAGTTCTCTTTTCCAACGATTTTCAAGTTGTTTTTATAGGAGATTGCGTGTCATTTGCCATATTAGCTCTGCTCTTTCCAAAATTTAACTACTCATGACAGTTTTTTAGTCAGGACTTTGATACTTTTGGGTTAACTTTCTCTTTCTCATCTGATATTGATTCCAGGCAAACTAACTTTCTATCTATCCATCCATCCACTCAACTGCCTATTATTGTTGGCAGTCAGAATTATTGTCCTATAAAAATTCCCTCATTCTTATTCCTGGAGTGTTTAAATATGCTAACTTACATGGTAAAAGGATGTGATGTTAAGATGGGGAGATTTTCCTCGACTATTGAAGTGGTTTCATGTAATGGAAAGGATCCAGAAAAGAGGAAGGCAGGGCGTCAGAAAAGGTCCTGTACTGCAGACACTAAAGATGGAAGATGGGGCCTGGAACCAAGGAGTATAAATGTTTTCTCAAAGCTGGAAAAGGCAAGAAAATTAATCTCCCTAGAATTATCAGGAAGAACTTAGTCCTGTAAACCCACTTTAAAATTCTGACCTATAGAACTAAGATAATAAATATGTGTTCTTTTAAGCCACTAAGGCTTTGAGAATCTGTTAGAGCGACCATCTCGCATGTGGATTGAACATCCCTATTTGGAAAATCCCAAGCATCTCAAACTCCAAAATTTTTGAGCACCAGCATCATAATTTGCAAATATTCCAAAATCTGAAAAATGCTCAAACCTGAAATGCTTCTGGTCCCAGCATTTCAGATGAGGAACCAGTCTGTGTCATCTATTTATATTCTGTATAATTTTTTACTTTTTTGACAGGCAGAGTGGACAGTGAGAGAGAGACAGGCAGAAAGGTCTTCCTTTTGCTGTTGGTTCACCCTCCAATGGCCGCCGCGGCTGGCGCACTGCAGCCGGCGCACCGCGCTGATCCAATGGCAGGAGCCAGGTACTTCTCCTGGTCTCCCATGGGGTGCAGGGCCCAAGCACTTGGGCCATCCTCCACTGCACTCCCTGGCCACAGCAGAGAGCTGGCCTGGAAGAGGGGCAACCGGGACAGAATCTGGTGCCCTGTCCGGGACTAGAACCCGGTGTGCCGGCGCCGCTAGGTGAAGGATTAGCCTAGTGAGCAGCGGTGCCGGCTGTATAATTTTTTAAAAAGAATTTATTTATTCAAAAGGGGGAGAGCGAGCAAGCAAGCGAGCGAGTACGCTCTTCTATTTGCTGGTTCATTCCCCAAATGTCTGCAATAGTCGGGGCAGGGACTGTCTGAAGCCAGGAGCCTAGAACTCCATCTGAACTTGGGCCATCTTTTGCTCTTCTCCTAGGCATATTAGCAGGGAGCTGGATTAGAAGTGGAGCAGCTAGCACTTGAAACAGTGCTCATATGGGATGCAGATGATGTCTTAGCATATCTGGTCTCTATGTACATATTTTGCAATGTAACTTGATCCATACTAGTAGGTAGATTTTTACATGAAAATAAAGATGATTGGAGTGTGGTGTTTTAAACAGTGGTAAGAGGACATTAGGGAAGCTCTGGATTTGGAGTAAAAGCTGAGCATAAACACTTTGAAAAGACGATCTCAGGTCATTATAATAGTCTTTCCTTTTGATGCTTCAGTTCCCCACCTCTCAGTTTGTGAATCATTGCTCACAATCTCTGAGCTAATCTATTGGAAGAATGGTGTTTGAACTTCTGTCACCGACTAGATCCCTATCTTCAACCAGTTAACTTGAAAATGTGTTTCACATTGGCACTGGAAGAAAAAGTGTGGGCCAATCAATGCAAATCTATCAACTCCAGGAAACAAATACTTCAGATTGCATGTCCTGCCCACTGTGGCTCAATAACAGTATCTTTGCCCAAGGAGAACAATATGTCCTCAAGGAGGAGGAAAAATTAAAGTATTAATAATTTCCAAAGAGTCATATCACAGAGATTGTGTTGATGCTACACAAAGAATACATCTAGTCAAGTTCTGCAACAATCTGGGACCTTAGTGATGCAGTTTGACTTTCAAAATAGATACCTTCCAAACTGTTTTTACTCAACTGTTTTTGAACATCGACCTTAACGTCACAGGTTCTTTTCATGCTCAGACAAGGGAGTTGAAAATCTCTCTGTGCAAATAGATATTTAGGAAGATGCCAAATGACTATAATTTCTTCTCCAAGAACTGGATTACCGATTTCAATCACTGCTAGTGTCTATGTTTAATATAGACATGTAAGAACTGTAATCTGGAAATAAAGCCATTCCTTGGGGACCAAAATCAGGAAAGTTCCAATAGAAGCTATAAATGGATTCTGCCATGAATGTTATAGTCAGAGCCTTGTGACTACTGCATGCAAAATTTTCTGTACTTAAAACATTCCCTCTACTATTAGCCTATTTGACTCTAGCATAATCATTTGAATTCAACTCAGCTACTGTGTCTGTTGCAATCACACTCTTCTGTTTTTCTCCCTTAGTACCAGTTCTACGCAAACTTTTTATAATTAGAATTTTCCACTTACGTTGTCTGTGTGTGTTTAGTCTCTGTTGTCTTCATTATACTTAAAGCTACATTGTGGAGGGACCACATCTGTTTTCACCCACATTTATAGCAGAGCTTTTAACAGTGTGTGGCATGAATCCCTAAGTACATTTTCTTTTTTTAAAAAATAAGAATGAGAATATGATGAGCACATGTAGCAGATACAGAAGAGAGTCTGTTAAATGCCAGCCATATTGGGCTGTGTAAAGAACCTTAAATGGTAACTTCTACTTGAGGGTGAATTTCTACCCAAATACTGATCATCAGAACTATTACACAAGGATAAAATTTGGTGGATAGTACTGCTTCCACTTTATGATAGCCTGAGATTTGATACACACTTTACCTGCAAATAGATTTGGATACATAGCATTGAACAGTGAAGTTTTTTTTTTCTTCACCTTTTCCTCCAAAATGTTCAGAAAGGGTCGTAGGCGAAATGTTCCTTGTTGGTAGTCAGTGAAAATGTTTTCACATTATCTTTGGTCTAATAGGCCTTACATTTGTAGATAAATAGAATCAGGCACTTAATTTATAATACCTACTACTTATCACTTTGGCTTGAACAGGAGATGCTAAACTTTGCAATAGTTTTATATGTATGTATACTGGTCTATTTATAACACTTTAATGTATTTTTGTCTCTGAATAAACAGAAGAATTTACATAGGCACAATACTGTCATTGCCCATTAGGAAACTATTCAAATCTCAGGTTCAAGGAAATGAACAAGATTTAAAAGTAAAATAATGGATTAAAAAAAAAGGTCAACCTTGATGAAATCCATGCCTCTTATTTTGCTGGAGCCATTTCTGCTGCTTTTTGTATTTGAAACCAGTAGATAATTAAGTTTCCACTCAAGCTCAACTTCAGGCCTAGCTGAAGACTCTCAATAAAGGAGACTTACTCTGTCTTGTAAAAATGCTCGACTTTCATTTAAGAAGCGATGCTTCCCAGTTTAATGTGAAACAGTAGCATTAGGTGGATGAAGAAGAAACCTGGGGTAAATCTTTGTAGTCTGTCGTGACAATTTTAAAATTCTATTTTATACTTGTGCTCATGTCCAAAACAGTACATTTTTAAAGGAAACACAGCTCAACTCTTCATTGTTTTGGATAATGCTTGCTCCTGCCACTCTGTCATGCTGGATAGGTTTTTAAAGGCTAATCTCATGTCCCAAGAACATTGTTCTCTTTCAGTTTAACTATGGTTTTGCACCAGAGGCGCCTTGGCCACAATCACAAGGAAATGCAAACCAATGCCAGCGTCAGAGCAGCTTTTGTGCATGCCCTTGGAGACCTATTTCAGAGCATCAGTGTGCTAATCAGTGCACTTGTTATCTACTTTAAGGTGAGCATGTTTAAGATTACCCATTATCTTCGTAAGTTCAGAAGCTTACCTGTATTAACAAATTATGTTTGCCTATACAAACCACTTTACAAGATCAAAGCAAACAAACACCCAAAGCCTAAAACTTTAGACTTTGCTAGTTTCCTAAGAATTGGGCTGCCAGTCTTTCAAGAAAGAAATTCAAATTTTGTCATGGTATTAAGATGGACAGCAATGAAGCTGAAGGCCTTAGTGTTCTTGGATTGTTAGGAACAGAAAAGATCTGACTCACACAAGCAAAAAAGTAGACTTATTAGATAGAATGTACCCCAGATCTCCAATATCCAAAAGCTCACCGACGCTTTCTCTTTAAATATCTTTTTCTGACCAAGTAATCTGTCAGTAAGTACTTCAGAAAGGCTAGCAAATGATGAGTACGCGTTCTTCAAAAGCTTGAGATAAATAAATTTAAAAGCAAAGGACTGATAGTTCTTCCTTGATGTATCCTGTCCATCACTGAACAGGTAGCATTGTTCACAGGTAGTGCTGGACTTGACCTTGTCTACACAAGAGTCTGGAACCAATTTAAATGATATGGGATGTTCTCCCAAAAGACAGAAATCAAAGAAGAAATAGAGACAAGTTATCTAGGTGTCAGAAACTATCCAACTTCTGTCCCAGGTGCTATGTTAAAATAATTTTCCCTGTTCTTGTACTTGCTGAATATTCAAATACCTGGGAAGGGGAGTCTAATTTATCTTGCTGGGGCCTTGCACTGGTTGATCGTCTAGGATAGGGTAGAGACCTTGATTCACTGTCCCTCTGACATTGCTCACAATGCAGGAAAGCTGACTTCTCCCTCAAAAAGCCAGGGTGTAATGCGAAGTGCAACTGGGTCCCCTATGGGCTCCTGACCCCAAACAAAGATTCACCATGGCTCTCCTTCTGGTAATACCAAGAAATAACAGTGTTGGGTTAGGGTGGTGGTGAGGGATAATGAAAGGAAGAGGCATTAGGCTGCCTTTGCATCTTAACTGTCCAATTTCCAGGGGCTCCCGTCGTTTTGTTTTTCTAAAGATTTTACTTTATTTGAAAGTCAGAGTTACAGAGAGGCAGAGGCAGAGAGAGAAGTCTTTTATCTGCTGGTTCACTCCCCAAATGCCACAACAGCCAGAGCTTCCTCGATCTGAAGCCAGGAGCTTCTTCCAGGTCTCACATGGATACAGGGGCCCGAGGACTTGGGCCATCTTCTATAGCTTTTCCAGGCCAAAGCAGAGAGCTGGATAGGAAGAAGAGAAACTGGGACTTGAACCAGCACCCATGAGATTCTGGCACTGCAGGCAGTGGCCCTACCTGCTATGCCATAGCACTTGCCTTGCTCCCCACTTTTTTTTTTTTTTTTTTTAGAAAATCTAAATATATAAATAAGAGACCTCTGAGTTCAGGTGAGGAAAATGGTTACTGACTGCTTTAAGTCTTAGGTAAACAGTTAAAAATCATGAGGAGTAATGAAATTGGAGAGTCCCCCTACAAAGGTGAAGTCGATGCTGAGATTCTTAGATAATTGAGCATAGAACTTCACAGGCAGAATACCAGGTGAGGACAGGAGCTGAGGTTGGGAAAGAGCAAGAATGACATTGTGGACAGATCAAAGATACCTGCCTGAGTATGTGCCACACTGGAGAAGGAAAGAAATGATCTAACCCCAGACAGTCAAGACCATGGTCCAGCTGATCATTGGCCGCATGTAACCTTGTACACCGCTTCTCCTCAATTATGTCCAAAAGTCTTGGGACACAATGGGCCTATTTGTGCATGTTTTCATCACATACCATTTATTCATTTCAGAGAAGTCAAGTCAAGCCCCTTGAGGGCACACTTAAGAGTTAGATTTCCCCCTGTGTTGTGAAATTAGGAGGACAATGTATCCTGTAGCATCCCTTCTTCCTCTCTCCAGTTGCTGGTAATTTAAAGGTGAAAAGGAGTGAGTCTTCAGAAGAAAATCTTGCCTCCGAGTCAGATGGCAGCAGGGTGGATGGGTAATAGAGAAGGAAAGGGTTTTGTTTGTTTGTATTTTTTTAAAGCAGACTTTCTGGATGGGCAATATGAACTCATTTAACCAAAGTCCCTGTATTTTCCAGCCAGACTACAAAATAGCTGACCCAATCTGCACATTTATCTTTTCCATCCTGGTTTTGGCTAGCACCATCACGATCCTTAAGGACTTCTCCATCTTACTCATGGAAGGTAGGAGAGATGTTATTATCTCCGGGATCAATATTTTCTTTCCCATGTGGTCACAAGAAGGGGTGACTGCAAGACATGCAGTTAGTTTGTGTTAAAGGAAAAATTTTAACTCATGCAGAACTTTTGTGAAATTATTTGATTTTATTCATTTGGGAATAAATAAAAAGGAACTAGCTTCTGTTTCTACCCCTAGCAACTGTTCAATACCCCAGAGCATATAAACATTAAGTACAAACACAAAGATAGACATGGGAAGATATATTTTGAATCAATTAATGTTACAATCTATCTGGGAGGACTACATAAATCTACCCTGCAGACAGCATAACTGAATATTTTACTTCCGTTGGGTCTCATGGCGCCAGAACACTAGGGTGACTATTTACTCTTTCCACACGTGTTTATTGAACTCCATCTCTGGGCTGGGTAGCGTTCTGGAAGCCAGAGTCAGAGTTGAGCAAAATAGGGACTAGCTCTGTCCTCATGGGGCTAATGTGTCAGTGAGGGGAGATTATTCAAATGAGACACAGAAACAGAGTGCTGGCGAGTGTTAAAGAAGTGTGGAACCTCTGTTGGGGATTTGAACCTGGCCGGGGTAAGGACTGGTGGACAGACTTTGCCGAGCAAGTGGTATCGGCTGGCTCTCCCTTAACCCAGATTGGGGAGGATCCCAGGCTAACTAACCTCATTACCACAGCTGTGGTCTGCCTGGGTGATCCTCTGGGGTTTATGGAACCCCTGCATGGTCCCTTCAATCTTCTAATTACTCAGGAACAGATGACAAACTGTCAACATCAAGATGTTCTTTCTTATGCCTCAAGTTCACGGCCCTCCTGGCCTCTCCCCATTCTCCATTTTCATGGAGAAACTGCTGGTTTCTGCCCTTTTCAGGCTACACTCGCATTGACAAAATAAGCACACATTGCTTATTTTGTATCAGGCCAACCTCAATTCAAATTCTAGTCATGCAAGTTTCGGGCTGTGGGACTTTAGAGAATACACTCACTCCTCACTCCTGACTTTGTTTTCTCAACTCAAAAGTAGGAGTACACAACCTACATCGCAGTGTTGTTGGGAGTATTAGTGAGACAGATATGAAAGTGTCTGGAACAGAGTAGCTCCTCAGTAAGTATGATCTCTCCTCTCTCTCATTGGGTTCACTAGGATACTGTGTACATGAAACTCGCTCATGGAGATGACCCTGTACTGCAAAGTCATCTCCACACCGCGCGAGTCCCAGTTTTTTTCAAAGATTTAAAGTCAGAGTTACAGAGAATGAGAAACAGACGAGGTCTTCCACCCACTCTTTCCTGCCCCAGATGGCAGCAAAGACCAGGGCAGGGCCAGGCTGAAGCCAGGAGCTTCATTCAGGTGGTAGGGACCCAACACTTGGGCTGTGTTCTGCTGCTTTTCTTAGGCCATTAACAAGGAGCTGGATTAGAAGTGAAGCAGCTGGGTCATGAACTGGTGTCCATACAGGGTGCTGGCATTGCAGGTGGCACGTTTACTCGCTAAGCCACCACGCCTGCCCCAAAGTCCAGATTCTTGACCACAGGCTGTGGCCATAGCCCTGGTGAGGCTGGGATACTGATGGCCTCAGAGGGATAAGATAGTCTTAACTGGAACAAATCCATTGTTGTCATTGCCAGGAAAATGGTACTTCAAGTTGGAGAACTACTGACTTGCTATAAAATTTTCTTGGTATCCAGGTTATCTTAGATAACCTCTCCCTCTCCCTCTACAAGTGTTTTGAGCTTCAGAAGTTTTTGAATTTTGGAATATTTGTGTATACATAAAGTAAGCTGGGGATGGGATACAAGTCTAAACACAAAATATATTTATGTTTCATTGTCACCTCATACACATAGCCTGAAGGTAATTTTATACCTATCTGCATTTGGGCTGTAACCTGTCACTCGATGCGAGATGTGGAATTTTCCACTGCAACACTCATGTTGACACTTTAGTTTGAGATTTTAGAATTTAGGATTAGGAATGCTCAGCCTGTGTTAAAGTATGTCGACATAAAGCACTGGATTATATTTCCTCTGATTTATTGTTCTATGGTCCATTTACACCACTATTCACACCAATTAAGGGATTCCTACATGATACACTAGGGGTTTGCATAGCGAGCATAGGGATAATTGAGAATCTCCAGATATTGCTTCGATGTTTCTTTTGGTTTTAAGCACTTTGACAGAAGGTGGGCATTCTCCGAGTGCAGTCACCCTGGTCACCCTCGGTGACAGCTCACAGTTCATCAGCTTCACTGCTGGTATCTTCAAGGCTTTCACTACTGGCCAGTGCCCTAATTGTTGCAGATGATAGTGAAATGGACAAGAGTCAGATATCACTAACCAGCAACTACTGGGCTCTGAATGTGAGAATCTGGTTTGTCAAGTCACATGCATCTGTTTTCTGTCCTGAGGGCAGAGTGCTGGGGCTGCAGCTGTTACTGCTAATATGGAAATTGTTGACTCAAAGGCAGATAAAAGACACTGGTATACAGTGTGAAATGTCTATTCCACTTCTTCTGACTTAATACAGCTCTTCCCTGGTGATTATCTTTAATTTATTTAAGGAAAAGTGCAGAAACTGAGCTATCTCAGCTAATTATTGAAACAGACAGGTAACTCCTTTCTGGGAGACACTTAATTTTCAAATTAGCTTTTTAAAAGAGGTTATTAAGAAATACTTGTACTTAGAATTTTTAAATGCAGAGAAGTATAAGTTTCTACATACTTTTATCTTTGAATTGTCCATACTATTTCAGAATAACTTAATATATTTCCAAAAATATTTCTTATTATTTGAAAGGCAAAGAGTCAGATTGAGAAAGATCTGCTGGTTCACTCCTCACAGCCCCAACAGCCAGCGCCAGGCCAACCAGAAGTCAGGAACTGGGAACTCAATCTAGTTCTCCCTGCGTAGGTAGCAAGGATCCAAGTATCTGAATCATCACCTGCTGCCTTCCCAGGTGCACGTTAGCCAGAAGCTAGAATTAGAAGCTGAGCCAGGACTCAAACCCAGGGACTTAGCACAAGTGGCATTTGAACTGCTGTGCCAAATACCTGCCACAGGGAGAGGTTTTTTTTTTAAGATTTATCTATCCAAAGGCAGAGCAATACAATTCCCAAATAGCCACAATGATATATGTGCCAATGTTTGTGTGTTGGTTGTGTCCTTTTATTAAAAAAGCACGAGATATTCTGTATCTTGAACTTTTTCCTTTGACGATCTTTTGAATTAGCATATCCATAGATATTCCTCATTTTCTTAGTTGCAATTACTCCACCATATGGATGTATTCACATTCAGTGGACATTACAAAAGATGATATAATTTATAATTACCACTCTTTTTTTTTTTTTTTTTGGACAGGCAGAGTGGACAGTTAGAGACAGAAAGGTCTTTCTTTTGCCGTTGGTTCACCCTCCAATGGCCGCCGCGGCCGGCACGCTGCAGCCGGCGCACTGCGATGATCCGAAGCCAGGAGCCAGGTGCCTCTCCTGGTCTCCCATGCAAGTGCAGGGCCCAAGTACTTGGGCCATCCTCCACTGCACTCCCTGGCCACAGCAGAGAGCTGGCCTGGAAGAGGGGCAACCGGGACAGAATCCGGCGCCCCGACCGGGACTAGAACCCGGTATGCCTATTTTACTGGATGCTTTACTATTCTTGCACACTTCAAAGCAAAAGAGATTACTGGATGTGATACAGTGTTGAAATCTGTGGAGGCATGCCTCTTGGTCATGTTATTTCCTGCAGGAGTTCAGTTAAGATGGGCTTGTGTTCTGCATGTGGGTAAAGAGATGAATGAGATGAGAGGCAAGCGTCCTGGGTGAGTAATAGTAGACACTCAACGGGTCAGCTGAAATACCCGAGATGACACACATTAGACAGATAACTTTAAAAAGTTGATAACCAGATAGAGTACACACGAGAATGAACAGTCTCCCATCTACTGGTTCACTCCTCAAATGTCAACATGGTTGAGGCTGGGCCAAGAAGCTGAGAGCTGGGAACACAATCCAAATCTCCTACAGGAATGGCAGGAACCCAATTACTTGAACCATCATCACTGCCTCCCAGGGCCTTCATTGGCAGGAAGCTGGAGACATGAACTGGAATGAGTAATTGAGCCTGGACACTGTGATGTAGGTCACAGGTATATAAACCACAGGTTAAATGCTGGCTCCGATAGCCAAATTTTTGACCACTATACCTGGACTATCATTTACATAATACTTTACAATACTCTGACGCTTGTCTTTTCCACCTTAGCAGTATTTAACTCCTCTCTTGCCCCAATTTTCTTCTTTCAGTTAAATAGGAACTGTAACTTTGATATCTAGTAAAGCTCTTAGGTCTGCTAATGAGACACTTTCTATACATAAAATGCTTATGGGGCTGGTGTTCTGCCACGGTGGGTTAAGATGCCACCTGTGACACCAGCATTCCATGTCAGCACTGGTTCAAGTCCCAGCGGCTCCATTTCTGATCCAACTCCCTGCCTGGCAGAGCAGAATATGTGCCAGTTCTCAGGCCCCTGCCACCCATGTGGGAAACCTGGATGAAGTTCCTGGCTCCTGACTTGGGTTGGCCCAGCAATGACTCTCAATATTGGCTGCATGTTAGAATTACCCATGCTGGGTCTTATCCCCAGAGCTTTTGATCCAATTAATCTTGGGTATACCTGGTCCTCAGAACTTCTATAAGTGACTCTGGTAATACTGATGTGCATTCACTGTTGAATACAATCCTGAAAGCCTGCAATCTGTTGGGAAGTCTGAAATGAGGCTAAAGTGTATTTATTATACTAGATGTCCCAGGTGTTTGTTTAGTAGAGGCTAAAAAGGAGTTGGACTTAGAAACATCTTATAGATCCTCTTTTGTTGAAAGACTATTTCAACAAATAGCTTTACCACTGTTACACTGGTTGAATTATTTTAAATTCTTGTTTTGAACTGATGGGTGTTTTACTCTTCCAACTAAACATTAGCTCTTTCTGGAACTAGCCAGAGCAAATGGTCTCTCATCATCTAGATGGCAAACTTTGCAATATTTGAGAAGAATGACAACACTTCCCTCACCCTTCTCTTCTCCGGGCTATAGACACCCATTTCTTTGGCACAAAAAAAATAGCTGATTGCCTGTCAGGCTTCCCCCTCTTCCTGTGGGCCCTGTAGTTTCTCTACAAGAATGACAGTTAAATAGTATTACATTCTGTGACCCAGACATTGAATGCTGACTAATGTAGCTAAAATAATGGGAAATTTATAAGCCGAGTAATAAGATGGTATTACAATGTTAGGATCCTCTATTAACACAGTTCATTAAGTGACCTGTTGGATAACCAACATTTGTAAAACTCTGCAATTCATAAAGAGCATATATTCTCCAATTTGCTCCACAAAGAGCTCTGATCTACATCATTCTTATCATACTTGTTTTACTACAAATGCATCTAGGATCAGGGACCTTCCGCTATATGACTAAATTTAGTATAGTTGTAGTTGGAATACTAATTCAGGATTATTTGATATCAAACCTCATGTTATTTCATTTTGCTTTCTAGAGTGTATGCAAAGAGAATTAGGAAAAATTTAATACACCCTGAAAGCTGAAGCTGATTACTTGTTGGCTATTGCATATTAAATTCTGCAAACATTCTATGAAATTTGATTGACAGTAAATCCTTTGAAATGGGCGATTCTGGTTTGTAAACATTCGAAGGAAGAAACCAGCAGAGGGCAAGTGGCTATCTTAGGTCTTTGCAGCCTCTCTAGCCATTTCAAAGAGCTGTATTTAGTTGAATAACAATAGCCTCCCACTCTTTCTTTGTGTCAGGTGTACCGAAGGGCCTGAATTACAATGGTGTAAAAGAGCTCATCATGGCCGTTGATGGGGTTGTGTCTGTGCACAGCCTGCACATCTGGTCTCTAACAATGAACCAAGTGATTCTCTCGGCTCACGTTGCTACAGGTCAGTGAGTTTTGTAAGTTATCCTGGACAAAATATAATTGTCCTGTAAAGTCAGCAACTTCCTCCTTTTTGTAGAGCTGCCCTCAGTGTCTATTGCCTGACAAACAACTGTAAAATGTTTTATGCTGCCAAGTGGCTTTAAAAAAACAACCCACTTGATGTTGTCATAACAGTACCAATGACAACTTTGTGGCTGACTGCAGAAGGCGGAGAAGATTCAGAACAAAGGACTACAATGCCTCCCCATGGTCAACACCTTGGACTGCAAATTCGCCTTTCTCTGTTCAGCTTGATGACCTATCAAATAGTGGAAAGAAACTCAGCAATAAATTGTAACTGAGTATCTCCTGTGTATACATGCTTTGCCTGACAGGCCCCATGATCAAAGTTTGAGCAAGCTGGGTTCCTTAGAGGGTGGTTAGAAATTCTGTAGCCATGTGCGACAAGGCTTTGGATATTGGTTTTATACTGAAAACTACTTTTCCAAGTAGAAGGTGATTTGTTCATGACAAGTCCTGGGGCTGGGAACACAGGAAGTGGGCAGTCTTTCCCTGCCTCAGGAAAGTGCTGAGGTCTAGGATAGATTAGGCTGCTAAAATGACTCGAGGCAGTTTGTAGAGGCAGGGGATAGGGACACCAGCAACAGTCGTTTCAGGACTGTGCTTTCTCAGACATCCTCATCTTCTCCAAGGGCTCCAATTTGGCTTCAGTGAATTCATAGCGTTCATGGCACAAATATTTCACAATAAATGGAAGAACGTAAACAATGAGGTTACTATGGAGGGGACTTGACAGCTTCCTGTTACCACTGGTGGCGGGAAGAAAAGAACGACTGTGAGGCTGCTGCTCTAGGAAAGGTCTGTAGCGAGCTCTAAATGCTCTGGTGCCGGCGACTGGCCTGGATATAAATTCTAATTGAATAAAAGACTGCCACCCAGAGACCCCCGGGCACTGGTGAACAGCACTGTAAGAAACAATAGGTCTCTCTTGGCCCTTTCCAGGGATTTTCTTCCCTTCCATATTCATCTCCTTGGAGTGCCAGACTCCAGAGGTAACTGTGGGCAGGAGAATCCCGGTGGTGATGGGCTCCTTTGCTGCACGAGAATTTGCCGTGCCTTGCGTGTGAGAACATAGATGTTGGTCACAGTCAATGTGGCGAGTGCTGTGCCTGGGCCCCACCCCTCCATGTCGGAGGCAGAGCACTTGAAGCTGGAAGCTCAGTCATTCCTGTGTGTGTGCAATCAGTGCTAATCTTACTGTGGTTCTTTATCAACAGCAGCCAGCTGGGACGGCCAGGTTGTTCGGAGAGAGATTGCTAAAGCCCTCAGCAAAAGCTTTGCTGTGCACTCCCTCACCATTCAGATGGAATCTCCAGCCGACCAGGACCCTGACTGCATTTTCTGTGAAGCCCCCCAGGACTAGCTCAGTCACTGTCAGCTTCCCTCATTAGACAGGCTTTGTACTTGCTGCTTTGCAGTTTCTGTAACATACGAAATAAGAATTCAAAGGAAGAAATTTGAGAAATATGACACTGTGCAGTGTACCCTTTACTCTTTATTTAGCTCCATCCACTTTGAATATGCATTCAGATCCATCAATCAATTGGATTATATACTCATCAGTGGCTGTGTTTAATTAGAGGAATGTGCGAATAGATTATTTGTTAACTGGGGCTGAAAGAGCAGCTGTTTGTAACCACAGGCAATAAATGGTTCATGTGCCATGAATAATGAATCCTGGGAAGGTGTGGTTAAAGTTGAACTCAGAAAAGTCTTATCAGGAATCAGTGTCAGGACAAAAAAAGGGGCCACAGAAAGTTTACGGAAAATGTGCAGTATTTAATTCCATGTATCCATGAGATCCTCGCATAGTCACAAAATTCCTCTGAAACATGTGAAGCAAAAACTGGAACAGCAGCCAAGTTAGGAAAAAAAGAACTCGGGGTCTAACTCCCCATAGAACTTGACTCTCTCACTACTTGTATTGTGTGACCTGGGGCAACATCTCTTGGATTCCTATCAACATCGCTATTCACAAAATGGGGGGAAGAAATTATTTCTCAGCCTTGCATGTAAATTATGTTGTAATGTTTGAAATTGTTGAATTTTACTTCTCTGGAAAAACGTTGTGGACAAGATATATGAAATTGCTGCTTTTTGAGTGTTTTCATTTGGTAAACCTAATAAAAGAAAATAAGGAAGCAGAGTACTAAAATCTATCTCAGGTCACATAGAAAATCATTTAGTGAAAGAATACAGATATGAACTCAGATTTTGAATAATATTTATGGAGCACTAACTATTGTCCAATAACTGTACTGGGCTATTTAGCGGTGTTGCCTCATTTCATTTTAATGACCATTTGGGAAGTTGGAACTAATGCCATTATTGTCTAGACAAGAGCATAATACTCAGAGTTTGACTAATCTAACCAATGTTATTTATTCAGTCATTCAAAAAAACTATTTTTGATGCCAGCTGTGGCTGAGCATGGGTGAACCAAGCCAACATGACTTTTACCATCATGGAGTTCTTCCTATTTTGATGAAAAACATGCTGAAGTGCATACTATGAGTAGTGGCAAGTGATAGGAAGGAAGAGAGGCTGATTTAGATAGAAGGTCCATAGAATGTCTATGAATTGAGATCTGAACAGAGTAGATGCTAGCCAAGTGAATTGTAGGAGAAAGCATATTTTAGAAGAAACAGCAAGAGGGGCTGGAGTTGTGGCATAGTGGGTTAATCTGTAGCCTACAATGTTGGCATCCCATATGGGCACCAGTGGCTTAAAATACAATCCAACTCCCTCTGAATGCTCCTAGAAAAGCAGAGGAAGATGGCTCAAGTGCTTGTGTCCCTGCTATCCACATGGGAAACCTTGATGGAGTTCCAGTCTCCTGACTTTGGCCTGGCGTAACTCTAGTCAGTCGTCACAGGCATTTAGGGAGTGAGCCAGCAGATGGAAGATCTCTATCTGTCCCTCCTCTCTTTGTAACTCTGCCTTTCAAATAGATACATAAATATATGCATACAAAGTAGCAGCAGCAGCAAGAACATGAGTTTATACCCTGAAGACAGAACTTGCCATACTTGAAAAAAATCAAGGAAGGGCCTTGTGGACTAAGAGTACTAAGTAAGGGAGTGAGTTAAAGGACATAAAGTCGGAGACAAAAGCAAGGCCAAGTCAGAAGTTGGTAGAACTATTTTGTCCGAAGACCAATTTATGCTTTTAGAACATCTTTTCAAAAGTTCCGTTTCTTTTAGTTCAAGTAGTTTGTATTGACAATGATTTATTATTTCAGAAGTGCAGGCAAAAGATGATTCTGTAGTCTTCAAAAGGAAGGGATGGATGAATTGATGAGTTAAAAGCAAAGGACTAAAAGTGCTTCCTCGATATATCTGGTCTATCACTGGACAGGTAACATTGGACTTGATGCTGTCTACCCAACAGTCTGGCTAAGGAAAGAAAATTTGAACTAATTGAAATGGTTATGGTCTGTTCTTTCAAAATCCTTCCTCTGTAGAGCTGGAGTTATGCTATTAGAAAATAAGGATATGAAAGAGGAGATTTAGCCAGTGCTGTGGTGCAGTAGGTCAATCCTCTGCCTATGGTGTCAGCATCCCTTATGGGTACCGATTCTAGTCCCAGCTGCTCCCCTTTCAATCCAGCTCTCTGCCATAGCCTGGGAAAGCAGTAGATGGCCCAGTGCTTGGGCCCAGGCACCCACATGGGAGACTGGGAAGAAGCTGCCGGCTTTGGATTGGTGCAGCTCTGGCTGTTGCGACCATTTGGGGAATGAACCAGCAGAAGACAGACCTTCCTCTGTCTCTCCCTCTCACTGTAACTCTTCCTCTCAAATAAAATATTAAAAAAAGAAAGACTGAAGGGCCTTGGTCAGTTAGGAAACTTCATGGTAGAAAAATGAACATGAGAGGGAATTAGAAATGTGGTTTCCACCCTTCTGCTTCCTTCCAGATCTGATCTTAGCTGGTTCTCAATTTCTTTGATGTTCAGAGTCCCAGGGGTTTCTGTCAGAATGAATTACATGGGATAATAAATGTGAAGAGAAAGGTTGAGTCTAAGTATATACTCATGCTCAGTAAATGTCCTATCCAGAGCTTTTTTTTTGGGGGTGGGGGGGACAAGCATAGTGGACAGTGAGAGAGAGAGAAAGGTCTTTTCTGTTGGTTCACCCGCAATGGTCGCTCCAGCAGCGTGTTCTGGCTGGCGCACTGCGCTGATCCGAAGCCAGGAGCCAGGTGCTTCTCCTGATCTCCCATGTGGGTGCAGGGCCCAAGCACTTGGGCCATCCTCCACTGCACTCCTGGGCCACAGCAGAGAGCTGGCCTGGAAGAGGAGCAACCGGGACAGAATCCGGTGCCCCAACTGGAACTAGAACCCAGTGTGCCGGCGCTGCAGGCGGAGGATTAGCCTAGTGAGCCATGGCGCTGGCCCTACCCAGAGCTTTTCAACCTCAGCACTATTCTCACTTGGGACTGGATCATTCTTTGTTCAGAACATTCCTGTGCACTGTAGCATGATTAGCAACATCCTTGGGCCCCACCCACTAACTCCCTGTTATACTCCCTATGCTAGTTGTAAACCAAATGCACCTAACACCCAGGCATGCAAATACATGCAATCCTGCAGGTTATAAGAGAAGCAGCGAGGTGACATAGCATGTGTGTCTTGGAGCCTGGATGGCTGATTTTAAACAAGAAGCCAACAGGATAAGAGGTAATTTGTGAATGTTCTTTCATGCAGGATCTTTTTTATTTTCAGGTTCTCCATGAAGGTGGTAAGTGCACTTAATACAAATTGACTAGGGCATTCATTGTTATAAGTTTTACTCCTAGAAAATCACTGTTTTACAGCTGGGACACACTTTCTTGCCTCCTTCATCAATAAGTTTAGCCACAGTATATCTCCTTGAATCAGGCCCAGGCCTGGTTCTCTCCTTTTCCAACTTCTGAGCTGAGCAGATAAATTAGACTAAGGTCTTCTATACAGATCTGCCCATCCATCTCTTCCTCTCACTCCCTCCTTGTGCAGGGAAGATTGAATGTCTTGGTCTTAAGATTTAAATTTAAATAGTAAGAAAAGAAATAGCTTAGTTTGACTTCCAATCTAGGCTGTGCATTTCAAGTCATGAACTATTTCACTGGGTTATTGGAGCCTGACTCAGACATTGGCCAAGTAGTACTTTGATGCACATTTTGTTATTTTTTTTTCCAAGGATAATTTTCTCAGAACCTCTGTAGGGAAGAGGGGAATTGGCAAGACAGGATTCTATCATTTAGAGTGCTTGGTCATTATGACAATATTCTAGTACCATTCAAACTTCAGCCCTCACCTCCAATAAGGATAGAGAACTGATTGTAAGCTCCTTTTGAATGCCTAACTCTGGTGGTGAAATATCCGCTAGGCAGTTAGAAATTTGGTTACCAACTTTAGATCATTCCTTGGGATATTTTTCCTAGACTAAATTTGGACATATGTGTGAATATATAGAGAGGTCTTTTACAACTGGTATTTCCTTGTCACATTCTGGCAAAAAACTCCTTTTAAAAAAATTCTAACCTGTTTATTCCAAACCTTTATAATCACTAGTCAAATGAAAACATTTTCATCTACCAAAGGGCCCAAGCACTAGGATCAGCTAAGGAGGGCTGTTGCAGATATACAGAGACCCACAAACATCCAAGTTGACTCCAACATTGGTGCCACAGATAGTTTAGGTATTTATCTGTGAGAAGTTAATTCATTCCCTTCACTAGCACGATCCGAGTGTCTGCTTTGTGCTAGGCATTTTTCTTAGCACAGAGCTAGCAAGAGGAATTGGACACAGTGAGCGTTTCAGCCCTGATTGTAGTGCAACACCCCCCTGTGGAGAGCAAAGATGTGCAAGTTCATATCCTGGCAATTGGAAGGAAGTCAACAGGTCTGGTTTGGAACATGGGCTTCTGTATTTTCCTTAAGTTACCCAGAGATGATTAAAGAACAGTCAGGAACAATCAACTGCAGATTTCACTAAGTGACATTCTGCATTATATATGCAAAGTTACATAGGCATTAAATATATAAATTTATACAGTTATATATGGAGTTTATCCAGGTACATGAAGAGCAGTCCAAAGGGAAGACAGTGTAAGGTCCTCGTGTTTGTCCATTAGTTTTTAATTTGAAAAGCAAAATACTGGTGGAAATCTAACCTCAACTCTGAATTTTAAGACAGTATGGTGGTTGGTTTGTGTGTGCGTGCGTGTGTGTGTAACATTACTGCAGAACATTGTAGAGAACAGGAATTATGTCTTATGTGATTTTTATCATTCTGTAGTAGGGTGCTGAAAGCCTAGTGGGGATTCATAATTTTGAAGGCAATGACTCTGGAGCAATACATGGGTCTTGTCATTATTTTTCATTTACATTTGTATTTTGCAGAAATGCTGTGGGCCAAGAAAACATTGACAGAGGTCACATCTGTGCCATCTCTGAATCAATCAGCACTGCCGAGACAGCCACTTAGCTCTCTGCTGACAGCTCACCCAGCTTAGTGGTGACAAATACACTTGTCCCCCACCTCAGTGAGCACGCTTAGGCTCCCAGGATTAGAGTTGCTTGGGTTCCTAATGTCTCATGCCACATCTGGCTCTCCAAACAGAAGGGGCTGTTCATACCAAATTATTTCTCCAGTTTCAAGGACCACTGAGTGATTTTGCTTTTCCATATTTTCTGCAGGATAGGGCCCTGATGACCAGATGACCTAGCAAATGCTCATGTTCTAGTGTAATTGTTTGCATTGACTTCCTTTGAAAAGCCTTATTTAAATTTGATTTTATGTCAGAAACGCACTGAACATCAGGTAACATAAGCAAGGAAGATTGGTGTATCAACCCAAGGAATTACCTCATGGCTTCTAGTGATTACAATCATTTCCCTGACAGTCTACTTCTTTAGACCGATTGAAAACTTTGGATGGGAGATGTTTTTGTGGTGAACTACAGACAGTCTGCAATTGACACATAATGTTTGTGTATATATATGGGGTTCAGTATGATAATATAATACACATATAGAATATACAATGATCCAATGAGAATAATTAACATTTATCTCCTTGAACATTTATCATTTCTATGTGTTGAGAATGAGGACTGTAAGATGGAAAAGCAGATGCCTCAAGGACTTGGTGCAGCATCCATCACCTGTGAAGG